CCACTGGAGCAAGCAATCGACCTCCATAGATTACGTTGGCTGGGACATGTGTTACGCATGTCACCAGGTAGGTTACCACGGCGAGCGATGTTCGCCGAAGCAGATACCGAGTGGAAAAAAGCCAAGGGTGGTCAAGTTAAGACCTGGCACGAGGGTATGAAAACCCTAACCAGGAAACTGGGTCACATGGGTCCTGTTAAGCTCCCTGGCTGGGGACCTCGGGATGATCGTAACCGATGGTTAGAAACACTGAGCGATATGGCTGGGTGTCGTAAACAGTGGCGTTGTGCATCTCCTCAATTTCTTTGCAACCTTAGACCACTGAACTTCTCCATTTTCTTTTCGACTCCACTTTCCTTTCTTCTATTCTTCATCCAAATGGGCAGCCAACAGACAGCAACCAAAACCGGCGCACGAAAGTGCATGGTTAATGTTTGTTTAAACTGAAACTACGTCACAAGACTACTTTCATTTCATGCGAGGACAATAAACGAACCATCGGGGTCTCCAAGCTTGATGGAAATGTTACCATTGGAGTGTTGTGTTTGGAACGTGTTCTGCATAATCTTTTGAATCCGGTTTTGTCAATCAAAATAAACATATACCGTTTGACCAGTGTGTGGGTCTTCGCGGTGCCTATAATCGGCATCAAGTCATCTTGGTAGTGATGTCTTTTAATTTAAGTTGGAAACACATTTATGTTGCTCCACAAGGCTCTAATAGGTGGGCTGAGCAAAACGTTTCCGGATAAGCGGTACACTTACGAGGTGCAGATGATCGGGCAAGGAAAATGTGAGCTCTAATCTGTTGCGAATGTTGTTCAGTGATTGTAGCTCACAATGAAGTATCATCAGCCGAGCAGAGCTCACAAGTCATAAGGGTAGCTGTATTCGTACCGTAAGAATGGCACTCAGTTGATATTATTGGAGGTCAGTGAGTTTCTACGACTCCTAAAATGGTTTAAAGCAGCAGCAGAGTGTTGATCGTTTGCGAGCTGCCTCCAAGAATCATTGTATTTCAGTGGTTTGCGGAATTCAAATGTGGCAGGTGGTCGCTGGCGATGTGGTCGATCACCACAGTGGACAACATTGCTGCTGTGCAAGCGATGGTGGGGGCGGACGCATGGATGACAGTGGCACAGATGTTGAAAGCTATCGGGATTAATCCGCACCATTCTACATGAGAAGCTCGGTCTCAGAACGGTTTGCCGTTTGGTGGGGCGCCGCCGCGAGCGCAGTATGGCAAAGCAGGTGGTGACTGTGTTTATAGCTAAAAACGGTCGTGTGACTACTGTACCGCTCGTACAACAAAGCGCAGTAACCGGAGACTAGTACGTCACCTACTGTCTGCCGAAAACGCTGGAAGGTGTTGCCAGGTGTCGTCCACGGACTCGAGCACTGGAGACCTTGCTGCGCCATGATGACGCACCTGTTCACATGTCCCATGTCGTCTTCGATTTTCTGGTTAGAGAACGCATCCAGGAGGTTGATCACCCATTCTACAGTACAGACCTGTCTCCGTGTGACTATCTTGCGTTCCGAAATGTCATGCATAGGATACGTGGAATCCGATACAAGTCATTAACAGCAGTAGAAGCCTGCATGGAAGTGGTCGACATGATCGTGTTGTTTCACCAAATGGTTTGAGCGCATGAAACTGTGCATGAACACCGGTAGAAAATACTTCGAGAAAATGTAATTCTTATTTTTTTTTGTTTTGCGCATCCGGAAACTATTTGCTCAGCCCTCGTACATTGAGTTTGTGTGAAAATCAGCGATGACTCCGTGTTTTCGATCCATGACTTTGCTCATACAGTCCTTAAGAAGGAATGGAGACATTAATAGCTTCTATGTACTTTCAACTCAAAGATAAATTGCCTGTTTTTGCCGTCTCTTTTTGTGTGCACTTATTTACCTGTTCCTGTAGGACAAGGTATATTGGCCGCACGAGCAGACGTTTATCTGAACGAGTCCGTGAGCACCACCCGACCTGATTTAGCAGTTGAACAATTAAGACTATCAACAGTTCGATTGTTTCACACCTAATGAAATCAAACCACGTGGGTAATATAGCCGAGGCGTTTCGACCCCTCTACTTTAGTTCGCAGCCGTCGATCTAAGAGGATTAGTAGTAGCATTACGGTCACAGCGGAAGCGATTGAAATCCGCTTACTTAATCCCACCCACCCCCCTGTGCTCCCGAAACAATGCGTTAGAACACTTGGTCTTCCATGGCCAACTCCACACACGACACAGTCATCCCCCCCACCCATCCCTAATAATCCGAACCAGTGCACGTGTGTGAGAACCAAATTGTGAGCAACATTCGGTCATGAAACTGGAATGTTAATTGTTTCTTTTCCAACTTGTCATGATTTCTCCACCCTACCAAACAGTTTTGATATAAGTTGTGATGTATTAGCTTGTAGAAGAATCACCGCAAACTAGTTTGTTCGCTGCTCCTTGTTTTCTTACGATGTGTAATGATGGTATATTCGGACAAAACTTCGTGTGTTTGGGATGTCTCCAGAAAGCGCTCACTCTTCAACACATTACCGACTCGTTGCCAACACTCGCTGAGCAACACATCATATCGCTTAACATTGATTTTTCCGGTGGCATCAAAATGAATATTGACTCTTGTGCGCAATGTGATAATTGAAACAACCGCTTCAGCACTAGTAACCATTGAACCTTTTCCGCTGACCCAACCGACTAGTGTGCACCCACGCGTATGACAGCAGCTTTCCTAGATGCATCAAATCAGATAATCAGCGTTACATGTAAAATTGCAGGCATGCTCCGGGTATATTGGTATCTCCAGTCCTTTTCTCACAGTTGACTCTCTCCTGTTCCCTACTTCCACAACTGCCGCGGCATTCAGCCTGTCTGTCTGCAAATCAAACCGGAGTATCTGGGCGATTGGGGTTGCGAAGAGCTGAGTCCTTTCGAACTGGCAGAGGCGTGGCTCGGATCTGTCTTGCGTGATAATGCAGATATCGTCCGGGGTATGTTGTTATCCTTGACCGTAGAATCTTTGAAAACTATCATTGGTCTATTTTTTATATGTTGAGTTCACTGCTTGGAACAAAACTCTCAGCTGGTAATTTTTCTTTGTTTCTCACTATGATAGTTGACCGCGGGACACTGCAATTGAAAATCAGATTAATCTAACCAATTCACTGACTATATAGGTGGGAGGTATTGCTTCTATATGGGTCCGAAGACAGGGAGAGATCGGGGGATCTTCACTTTAAACTTATCGCTATCAGGAGTCAAACAGGAATTTTTACACACATGTGTACGTTGTATGTCTCTATACGTGATAAACATAGTTCAAAGAAAAGGGAAGAAATTTCACAGCCTACAGAACCAAAAAGGGCGGTGGGCGATAAGGACCATTCATGCCATTTTATTCATGAATGAGGCAAGGGAATAGTTACCCCTTCCCCGCTTGGTGGTTCCCGGCAATGAGGATAAACCAAAACCTGAAATGCGACAGAATAGCCCCCCGTTTCCTTTCTTGCCTGATAAGTCACCCGAGGTAGTTTCTTACGGTTGTGTTTTATTTCCCCCTCATCTGTCGTCTAGTTCGTATTCGAGTGGATTCTGGCGAAGTAGTCTGGTTGGAATATCAATCACTGAGTGAACTACTATCATCCAATCCGAAGTTGAGGTAAGCTCACCGATGACGTTCACACAATGCAGTTTGCCTATTCTTTCATCTTTCATTCTTTCATCCTCTGACTCGTGTGATGGAATCCCGATAACTCCTATTCACCATTTACCTTTCAATCACACTCGTGGGTTCCCAAGGGTAAAATCTATTAAGAATAGTCAATTATATCAGTTATAGTATGGTATAAACTCAGTCGTACTGTTCGTTACACTGGAATGACTATTGCTTATGTTCTCAAAAACCAATTAACCACAAACTAGCTTGTTTTCGTAACTTCGTCTGCAGGCAATGATACCTCCATAAATTTGATCAAAGGGGTAGCAACGCTTTGTTGAATATTATGCTCTCTAGTTGTATTTCTTAATCTCAAGTCTCACTTTTAGCTCTCGTCAGTTTCCGCAACCGAAGATTGTTTGTCTCATCAACGGTTTAAAGCTGTCAAGAACCTACTCTGATTTGAGTTTCAAACCCAGTCACGGCCACCCACCGTTAACGGTATCCAGGTTCATTCTGGTCCATTCTAAAGCCACATCCATTCTGTTAGGAGTTTTAAATGATGCTCCACTCCATGCCGCGGTTGCCAGCTCTCATAATAGAACACTTGTGATCGTAGGAATTTCCCCAAATAAGTATGTGATAGAAATGTGTTTTAATGTTTATTTTGTTTATCACTATATACCGTGTCTATAACGGTTTACCGATCATTCGTATACGTCCTGACCATTTATAACCATCGAAACATTGCCGTGTTTATTATTAGCCACTGCGTGTTCTTTTCCTCAGGCCTGAAGTGAATGCTGGTGTACTCTCAGCCCTGTTGGATAAACTGTTCACGTAAGTTACTGTTTATACGACGCAGTTTCTTTCAGTTCTATTTGTTCACCATATTTTTTGCGCATTTTCGCGGATACTCGCAAGGGTCGCATAAAGCGGGTACCGTCTTTTTATGAAATTGATGCACAATAGTCCAAATCCTTAATCAGACAGAAAACATTTCAAAGCGTCATCAGGGATTCAACAAGCACTATATAAACAATGTAAAAGTATCCATTAATGCAAAAATGTTGTACTAAATCTTCTTTCCAACTTCATGGGGAATAAACGGGAGCACATTATGGTAAACAGCGCGAGCACCGTACATCCCGGGGAAGCTTCTTCCGGAAAAGATGTTAAACCAAAGAGTGTTTCTGTTATTATGTCCTTAAAAGTGTACTTCATATTATCGGAGTCATCCAACCTCACCCTTGAGTTGAACGAACCTTCTAGATGTGAAGTTTTACTTTTTTCAAATTCGAGGCCCATTTATCAATCTAAGCAAGTTCTATGAGAATAGGTTTTTGTTTGCCGCGTATGGACAGACCATCTGACAGCAAAGTGACAGATAGCAGCGTCTTCACTTGCCAACTCGTTTCTTGATGAAGTATTCATCGATCGTCATATCAAATGTATTCTCCACTCCTGACTACGATCTTTTGAAAGTGGAAGTGCCTTTGGATTCACTGTTCCCCCGTAATGTTTCCAGGTTTGCTCCCCCAATTATTTTTACCTTGATCAAGCGTTCTCTAAAGTATCTCAATCAGAGTGACATTTTTTGCTCCTCTGTGGCCGATTCGATGGTAAACGTTCGTTTATTGTCAAATGATCGGTCGCGTGAAACACTACAGTAGTTCCCAAACTGTTCACACTTGTGTTCATTGCCCCTGTCCACATCGGTAACCCATTATAAACTGAATCTAATGTACATCGCACTGCAAAGTTGCCTATCTGCCCGGACTGTCCGTGTACGGCGAATAGCTGATTACTGATTGAAAATTATAGCTAGCCCAAATATGTTTACACTAGCGAATTTTTCCCTTTTAATTTATAATCGTGTTTTCACACTTTGTTTTGTGCAAAATTTTCGCAAAAGTATACCATTTAAAACTGAAAAGATGTCCACTTGTGTACATGTGTAAGCCTCTGTAAGTTAGATTGGCCATCCAAAAGTGAAAACATCAATACTATCAGTGCGGCCTCGTAGCTCATCTTGTAGAGCATTTACTGTACAAACGCATAGGCGGCGTCCATGTGTGGGTTCGATTCCCACCGGGGTCACTGAACTTTTCACAGCTCAAATCTAAAACTTGAACCTGTCATGCAACATAATTGAACGAATATATATATATATATATCGTTCAAGCGAAGATGAAAACCTACAATGAATTGTAAAATGTTTATTGTATCGTTACGACCCAAAGTAGAACTCGTTATCACGTATGTATATAGATACCTAATGATATCGTGATAAATCATTTTTTCTCCAGTCTTCCGTCGGGATATTACTTGCTATCCCAGGATACTCCAGCCTGTTACACTCTATATCGAGGTATGAGTGAAGATGAATATCAGAAACCACCTTCCAGGTCAGTTTCTTCTAGTTTTTTTTGGATGGCTCATATACGGTCTATTCGATCCACTGTTGTGATCATTATATCCACATTTCGTGATCCTTTTGCTTAACATTTAGTTTGTATCTTTTTAACTTGTTTACTCTTATATCCTGCTATTTCAATTAAAACTGTGCTCAGGTCCTCACACCGGATAAAATATGGAAATTCACAAAACTTGCAACGTGAAAACTGTCGCCAAAGTTATGAAATTCCGTGTGCAGTGTGACGACTAATTCAACCCTTAATCAGCGGGATTGATGCTATCTTTTGTTGGTTTAAGTGATTACCTTCAACTTTTATTAACACAATGTTCGATGAAAACCTTACCGATTGGTGGTCCCATAAATCTGTGATCAGCGTATATGCACGCTGTCGTACACGTCTCCAGTTGATCAACAAGAGAAAGACCACTCAAAAGATTAAACATGGATTGGCGAGCATTGTACTAACGGCCGAACCAATATGAGGTATTAAAAAGTGCTAATTTTTCGCTTTGCTAGTAAGCTCTGCGAAATGCATCCAGAATGTCCGCAGAACGCATCAGACTATTTACGTATCTAACCCGCCGCATAATAAAGTCATTATCATCACTTTGTTGCCCTACTACTAGCACTTGGTTGAGCAGTGCAGTAATGGTCATAGGCGGAACTCGAAAATCGGTATCACAATCGAAATCGTAATCGAAAAACGAAATTCTACTGGTAATTGTATACCGAAATCTCCCGTCTCCCACAAGGAAGAAGGCCAAAAAAGTGTAGTTTAGTTTATGGCAAGAAATCAACACGGTGTAAAGTGTGCAAAAGGATATCATTCCCCGAGTAACATGAACCAATCTCAGTTTACGTTCGTCTATTCTGTTTGAACCAAGTGGATTGTGATTGGTACAGAACATCGGCTTCTCATTGGTTGATCTGAATGCACATCGAGTCACTCCTTTGTCAGCGTTGTCACAATGTTTAGGATCGCCACACAAGGCCAGAAGCGTATCCTGAAAAATGCCAAGCGATACTTGAAACATCACTGTACTACAGCTTCCAAGTTCTTTGTTGGCTCATCTATGCAGAAGACCAAGCCTCACGTGTGAGTGGGTCGCCTAAGCAGAAGTTGGTGTTTTGCGTAATTCTTTTATATTATTGAAAATCTCGCTCGCAGCTGTTCTGCTGTATGAGATGCCTATTGAGTTTTGTTAATTAAAGTTCCTCAACGAGGGTTGGACACTCCCTATTCTGGAACATAGGGTCCATCGGTTACTTTGGAGGTTTTGGCATCTCTTTCTTCATCTAAATGATTGCGTCAGTTCATGATGCACACAAACAACACACAAGTACAATAGCCAACTTGGAAGATAGCGTCCTCAATCACCCGCCAGTAGCTCTGCTGATGATTCTGAGTTCCTATCACTTGTAATAGGCCTGTGACTTCATCAACGTACCCAGACAGATTTGTCTGTTTTACTACAAATTTCCTGATTTTTCTGTCCAGGATAAGCAAACTATGTGAGGAGGGTTAATTTTTTTACTGTATGATGTCCACACCTTACTTTTTTATTTGGTCTTGTGGTGTTACATGTTTCGCAATCCAAAAGAAAAAAATAATACTACATGAAAATGGTTATGTGTGATACCGCGGGCTGACGTTTTTGCATATCTATGATTTCTGTCGGTAACTTACCGGTTATTTGATCGACCGTACGTGGTCCATCAACGGTAGCAGCATTCGCCACCGACAACTCATGATGCGTGAATTAATAGTTTATCCTCTGTGCCAATTATTCGCACTTTTTGATCCACACTTCAGTACCCCTGCGTCAGACAGCGCAAAAGCATTTCTGACAAGAGATATCCTTGAACGATTTGATAACACCACCTCCGCCCTACTCAACTTGGCCAGATTATGTGAATCAGCTGAGGATAAAGACACTGGAGAAACTTGTGAATCGATAGATTTGTCCTGTTTGACAGTTTATCGGACTAAGTTGGATTTGAATTTGCCCGCTGGGTTGGAAATCAACGCACCAGGCGAATCGGGACGTGTGATGCGCCTACCTGCACTACCCGTCAGTCGTCTGCAATCTTCTAATAAGGACATGGTTTCATCAACTCCTAAACAAGCTAAACGCGAACCACTCATTCCGACCAAGCGACCCAAAACGACGAACCTTGGATCACCTCCCGCTAATTCGCCTCCACCAGCGCGGTCAAAATCGACACCGAAATCCCCAAAGCGAAAACTGCAACGAACACGTAACACACAATCCAAGTGATCCAACTGAGTATCTCAATTCGTGGATTTTCCTCATTGCAGTTATACAGACTGTTTCGGTTTTCTTTATTTATTTGTATTATGAACACAGTTTGTTGCCATTCTGATTTATCATGCAATAAACTTTCCATTGCCTGTATAGATTTTTTTCTCGTTATCTCTGTCGGGTGATCGATCTACGGTAGCATATGATTAGAATTGTTTCTTCGAGCCAGCTCAATCAAATAAACAACAAAGCAGTCCCTAACAAGGACTGTACGGAATACCGTGGTTGGGAAGTGATTACATTTCCGTGTTGAGCGGGTTAGCGAGACAAGAGCTTGTAAACATAATATTTCGATCAACTGGTTCGATTTAGAGGCTGGATTTCTGTGTCGCAATAACGCTAGGAGCCTGGCTAGTATTTCATGATAGGCTAAAGGGCAGTATAGATAATATTAGAACAACCTTTTAAATTGCATTTATTTGATTGTCGCTTAGTGTGAAGCCAATGTCCAGAAGGGAAGCTGCGATAATTGGATCATAGGCCAATTAGATACTGTTGTGTCCCGTGGTAGCAAAGGATTACATAGGCGGTGGGTTTCTTAGTTATTCTATTTCCAGTACTTCAACGCAACCGGTGAGCAAGCAGTTCGTCGCCGCCCACAATTGACTGATGCGTTTGTCGTGCCGGATTAATTGGTTTTATCGCACAACGTTCATCTCAGAGGGCATCCGCTGAAGTTGGCACACCAAAAGAGCCGTCTCGACTCCAGACGTCACTCGTTTGCAGTCAGTGTGCAGCACATGGAACTCTCTACCAGCTCACGTTGTCTATGCCCCAACATTAGTATCATTCAAGCGTCAGCTTGATGATGCCCTGGCAAACGTTACATTTCAACACCCAACTACATAACATATTCTCCTGTGCTCGTCAAAACATTACTTTACTTTAATGGACTAACTGTGATATTGTGATTCTTCATCCGAACCAATGTGTAAACACCCTATGGGATTTGTAAAAGCGAAGTCTTTATAAGTTATATCCCATAATAAAAATTTGAATTTGACCGATACTGCCCCCTACCGCACTCGCCATGCGGACTAACTCCATTAAAATATGGATCAGCTCCTGCCAATCTGGTGCTAGTATGGGGCTGTCCACGTTCGTTGATTTGTCGACTGTTTGAATGCCTACTTGACAGCATACGGATGTCGCCACACGTGATCCAGTGTTTGCCCGCCTGTCTTCCTACGTGTTTCCCGTTACTGCTTGCTCATCGGTGTTTATATCCACATATTTCACACGTGTCTAATGCCAGACTGTGTGCCAAACAAATCATGGTACAATAATCTTTATAAAAAAAAACTTTCCACGATTTGCATGTGGACCAAAATTTGCTAGGTTGCTCAAACTAAGATAGGTGAATTTTCTTCACTAATCTGCATTCGGCGCCTCCTGCTAGCCAGAACCTGACCCGGAAGGCAGCGGAGCGGTGTGTGAAAACCGCAATTCATTGGAGGCCGGTGTCCAGTTCATCGTATCATGCGCCCTTCGGGCGGGGTCAAACGTCCAAGGTGTCCAATTGAGCTGGTGACCATTGTCATAGCCGAAAAGGTGTGTGTGGTTCGTACGTCTCCTCTTAGTTGGTTTGTAATCAGGGTTTTTGATCAACAACCCTAGGTGAACTACCAGTGGTTCACCAATCCGGTTACAGCCCCGGATGTCGGCTATTCGCCCTCTCACTTTGGTGGGAAACCACCTCCGCCTTAAGAGAGGATTTTGGAGTCGCTTGGTCGCATGGAAGCATTTCGCGAGGTGCAAGGGAAGAGTCACCAGGTGCAACCCTAGACACCGACTCTCGAACGTACTGAGGCTTTCGGAGGTCATCGGTGTTTGGACAGCCTTCATGTGTCTGCTACAATAAACTTACTGCTCATTTCACTGCGCGCTTATATACCTGCTAAGACGAGATACAACAGACGCGCGAACCGCCTAACGATTATCAAACTGTCCATAAAGCCCGAACACGGCAGAAAAACATCCGAGAGGTTGAATCTATTGGTGAGTGACAACTCCATGTGATTTTCCCTTGGCATCTCTCATCTGACTGCGCAACACTGCATGGAACGTGTTCAAGCAATCAGCATTGTCTATCATCACTTGTATGCAGTTGACAGCCTTGTTCACTTTAGGAGCAAACGAAAAATTGTGCAGTCACACTATGATTCACACGAACATGGAGTGCGTGATCGTAAACTTACATTAGTCCTTGAAAAAGCACGGTGAAGATACAGGATCAACATTAATTGATCCAGTAGGTAATTTCGTTGCACAAAAATAGAATAACTGTCTCATTTTGTCGAGATCATTTTCCGACAACTTGCGCCGATGGGCTGAGTATCGGGGGGTTCGAACGTCACTCTTCTGCAACCCGTGCGTCACGTTGTTTGAGCCAATCCTCTGTTGAAACCAAATATCTGCAATAACGTGCTTCTCCTTCCCAATTATTGCCACGAAATTTTGAATACGATACTGTAGTGGCTAGAGTACGGACGGAAATATAAACCCACAGGTTGCCAATCAATATCAACGAGTTGCTGAAAGACAGCACCTGCGGAAACGTGAAAGCATTAACGGCCAGGCTGAGAGGTGAGTCCGGAGAGTAGTAAGCTGAGAGCATGACTTCTGCAAGTGCCTCTGACGGCATTGAATGCCTGGAAGGCTGCGTCATTAAAGGATACCAATTTAGAGTTCAATTGGAGTAAATCGGTCACAGGCTGACAGACCGGAGTACAACGCGGGATAAAACGACTAACCCAACAAAACGTCGCAAGTCTTGAGCCGTAAAGGGGACGGCGATGTGACGTATCACCTCAACCTTAGATTCTAAGGGACAGATAATGTGGTGACACGAATTACCCTTCACTTTTAAAGTAAGCTTCCCCTCTTGCATTTCACTGTTTCACCGAACCAAGGACAATTGTTTCGTCAGCGCTTGTTTGCTTTTACTTTCCACACGCTTGCTCACCCCTCCGTATTTTCTACTTTGGCTCTGCAGTTTTACATAATACGATCGCCGTTCGTTTCCTGAAGTGTCTTGTTATGTTTTCGTACGAAAGTTCTCGAGGTTCCAATAGGACCACGCCCACAAATTGGCCGAACCCTAATATTAGTTATTTAGTTCACTTGGCACAGGCTGTGAACATTTATTCAGAACGGTAATGCAGACTGCTCTTTTTTATTGAACTCACGACACCTAAGACGAGGACAAGGTGAGGAGCCTCCGAGCATGCCATGCATCAGGATTCTCCAACGCTGTGTGGTGCCTTCCACACGGGTAGTTCGACAGTGTGCGATGCATTTGGTTGCCCTCAGTTAGAAAGTTTTCCAACCCAAACACTTGTTTAATAGAACAGTTCCTCTTTATCGAACAGTCTTATGAGCAAATTATTAACCAATTAATAAAATTCACTTGCGTAGTGTCATTAACGGTGAGGTGACACTTGGATTGTTTGTTACTGTTAGCCGTAACCGTTCACTTTATTTCCCGTTTGCCTACAATGGCCAACTATCTAGCTGGAGCATTACTGATGGTGATAAACCTAGTTAAGTTTTGACCTAAGACAATTGTTTCGTTTCTGCCTAGCTTCGACAAGAAAATCCCTAGCGTTAACCCTATTGCCGAAGGCTTTCTACGGTACGGAGGGGGTTGTGATGTAGTGGTTTCAAACCGACGATGTAAAATACTCGGGAGCTGTCACCATTTTTGTTCTGCCTGTTTCCCATG